TATAGAAGTTGACATCCATAAATCTTGCTTTTCTCAGTTGAATGTAATTTTCACCACGATCATTCCCACCACCATTACCACAACTGCACCAACCATCAAGGTTTCCGAGTGTTACGAAGCTTTCCGAATGCTTGTCAAAATACCGGTTTTCCATCAGCGTATCGCAATACGTATCGTTTTCATGTCTGAAACGGTTAATACCGGTAAACCGGTTATATTGCGCAGCCCTAGTTCTAACATGGAAGGACCACGTGAGGGGTAAAGGTTATAAACTAAAATCATAGGTACCATTGTAAAATGTTAGGACAATTTTTATACTTTTGAGTTTTTATATTTTAATGTAAATTTTTAAACAGAATTGTATAAGCCAGAATAGAATTGTTTAAGACGAATATTGCTGATGATAATAGCAGTTCCTTCTGTGAAAATATACCAGAATCTTTGATGCAAGTTTTTGTGTTTTGTTGTTATTGGGTTTTCTTTATTAATGCCAAAAATCTATCTCCTCACTGACAATTTCTTTCTCCCTATGTGGACCATTCGATTTACTTTCCAGATAGTAATATTGTCTTTGGAACTGGGGCTGTACATGTACATAGGTTGATGGGGACCTGTTCTAACACAGAAGGCCCACGTGAGGGTTAGAAGGTTATAAAATCAAATATTTTGGTATTTGTAAAATGTTAGGACAATTTTTATACTTTTGAGTTTTTGTAATAGGCAAATGTATACATATCAAGGTTATCCTTACAGAGAAGGTATGCCTTCTGAATTTAGTTAATCAGAATAGAATACTTAATATAGGGTAATCATTTAAATTACTATATAAAACTTACGATAGTACGTGAATCTGCTGTTTATGTATATCACGTGAACATTCGTGGTTCAGTCATCTAAACCACTGCAGCTTGTGCATGGGTGAGTGTCTAAGCGTCATCGTGCGTTCGAATCCCAGATTCAATCTGATTATGACCCTTGGTTTGTCAACATCACTCATGTGGTTTCTCAGCATCCTGCATGTAGTCGTCAGTTTCATCACAACCGTCAAATTTCGAACAATAAAAATAAAAACACATTTGAAGAAACATTTGCTGCAATTGTATCTCTACTCTATTCGCAACGTATTAGACTAGATGTTTATATGTCTCAGTTAGAAATGCAAAGAAATGAACTAGGCTCATATGATTTTGTTGAACTGTGTATCCAGTCTGGGGATGAGTCACGGCAGTCAAAGCAGTAGATATACCTAACGTGTCCTCTGCGAAGGAGGCAAAGTAGGGTCCATCAGCAGGCAAGCTGTGGCATCGGAATTCTGAGATTCGAACAACTAGTACTATTGGTTCGCTTCCTGCCCTGAGTCAACTCATTAATACTTAATCTGTTTGAAAGACTACATGGAAATGAATGCCAAACGTAGTGCAAAACGCTTTAACCGTTTGTTATTTCGCCAAGGCATAACAATGGCGTTGAATTCATTGAACATCTAGTATATGTAACTATATTTGTCACCGTCACAATTTCACTTCTTCCAAAACTACAAGAAGGAGTTTGCAAAAATGATAATGACATCATTCACAGGACTTTATATCCCCCACCAAGAAGAAGCCTTCTCCAAGTACTCCAGTACCTTTCGAAGACGTATGTGGACTTCAGTCGGAACTACAAATATGTTGTAAAATAGAAACCTAGTTCGAGTCAGACGTTTTGAGACACCCATTGTATATCACGAGTACATTAGTGTGAGAGTACAAAGGATGCGATTAACCACACTCTGACTCACACTCGTGGAATGTAATATCCATTCTGCGTGAGGAAAGGATAGAGGACTGAGGACTTAGAGCTTAACCCTTGTCACAGGTAGCTAGCTTCAATAGTACTTGTGTGGTATGTGGTATGTGGTACCTACCAAGCAATGGGTTTCCATCTTCATTTAACGCAATGATAAAGTGTCCGCTCATCCTCATGTAAGACAATATTCAGGAGTAGAATGAATCCCTTGAGTACAGGTATCGCTGAAATGTCATGAGGCCTGCCACTGCTAATTATGTGTTGCACATTCAAGCTATTTGATATGTTACTTAAAATCCATTTCTCCCCACCTTGCCAATGCACTCGTTAGGGGCACCCAGGTTAGAATAATACCCAAGTAACAACTGCTGTCGTTGGAGGTGACTGAATGGATCGGATGGTCCTGTGACTTGGTGGATTGTGTAACATCTACCACCACAGTGTTGTGCGTTCCTGTTTGTCGGGTCCAGATTCAATATATTTACAGGCTGTCGTGATGTCTATGCTGAGAACCGAAAGGAATTAACCACCAGGGGCCGTATTTTTAAAACAACTAAGTTTTTTTAATGACTTAAGTTGTTTGATAAATACTGTCCCAGGATCTAAATTAGGAAATATACACACGATTCTGTTCCCTGAATACACAACCTGACTCTCAGTAGTCACAGCTGGGTTTCTGGCTTAGTGTAGGTCCCGAGCAAACTATCCCCATCTAATGTGATTACCACATGTATTACAGTACAACCAGAAATTATTGAGAATTTAAAGATTGTATTTCTAAATTTGTTTTCACTCATTACTCACGTATTAAATGTGAATATTAGCAGAACATAACTCCAGATTCAAAGACAGTTGAACAGTTAGTATTTTGTCAAGTCACCATGGGCAGCAATGCAAGCTTCAATGCGGCGGGGCATCCTACTGATCAAAGAAGTTAAAAGTCGTGGTCCATGCTGTCCCAATATCGGACCATCTCTTCTTTCATTTCAGCAATATTTGTCAGATTTTTCTTATTGACACTTTCCTTCATAAGTCCCCAAACATTTTCTATTGGATTTAGGTCAGGGCTATAGCTTGGCCAATCTAATAATGTCATATTTTGGGTCCGAAACCAGGCCTGTGAATGCTTTGAACGATGTTTTGGGTCGTTGTCCTGCTGGAAAATCCAAACATTTCCATAGAACACGTGAGCAGATGGAAGGAAATGTCCCTCGAGAATATCTGTGTACCGCTCACTGTACATATTCCCTTCAAATACACAGAGGGGGCGTTGCCCCTGACACAGATATGCCACCCCACACGTTAAATTTCGGACTGTACTTTGGGCGCTGATACAAAGGTTTTTCAGTTTGTTTGGTCCAGAATTTCAGTGTATTAGGAAACAGCCACACAGAACTTTCATCTGATAAAATCACATTGTCCCAGTTAACATTTCTATGCTGTAAGCACCAGTTCAACCTTCGCTCCTTTTGTTCAGGTTTCATGATCAGTGATGGAATTCCTCGACTTTTCTGCCAACCCATTGCATGCAGCTCAGTTCTAATTGTCTCCTTACAGACAACCACAGTTCCTCTATCAATCATATCCAGGCTTAAGTGTTCTAAACTCCTTCGTTTGTTTTTAAAAACAAGAATACCAAGCCGCCTCCTGTCACCAACAGTCAATTTTCTGGGCCTACCTGTGCCTCCCTAGTGCTCAATGCCATATCCATTTGCAATAACTTTCAAAACACGATAAACAGTGGACAAAGGGATGCCTGTTCTACTTGAAATCACTTTAGCTGATCTGATGTCCTTGTTATAATACTCTAAAATCAACTTCCTCTTCCCTAAATCATCCAAACTGAGGATCACTGAAAATGTCGTCTGTTGGCAAGTAAACAAAGGGGGATAACTTTTCACAAACTAATGAAAAAGGATTAACAGAGTTGTCTCTCTTGAATAAAACCAAGCACTTGATAGCTGGTCAAGGTTGTTTATACTAGAAATCCATTTAAACATATTCCTAAAATTCTCAATAATTTCTGGTCATACTATAGTTGATCCAACTGGTGACTTGTTTGGAAGCATGTCATTGGAAACTGATGCTGTGGATCATTGTCAGTTATATCAGTCACTGAATTGTTTACTTCAAACTCATTTATTTGCAGGCGAACATAATAAAGACGGACTGTAATCCAGTGTGACATCAACAAATAAACACTTTCAATAATAAAACGCATCTGAATATTTCAAATTAACTTAAGAGAAACTAATATTCTGACATGGTGGTGATATTCCATTTGTCCATGTACTTTATAAACTAGACAAAACAACTTATATGTTTCACATTTTCTTTTCTTGCATTAAGTGATTTAAGTGATCATCCCTGCTCTCAGTGATACATCAACACAGGTGATGCATATTCAATCATCATTTATTCCAAAACGTTCAAGAAAATGTAGACAATCAGTCTCTGAATATACACAAATACCAGTCACATATAAGGTCAATCACACTGACACAGCTCAGTTCAGTAAATTTACATACAAGAATTTTACTATTTAATGTTTCTATTACGACTAGATTTCACTGTTTTTAATTAACCACAGTGATCACCTAAAACAATATTCGAACTAAATATAATTATATTAATTAAATATGCCATACACAAACCAATAACATGAAAAAAATCACATTTCACATTACAACCTTAATAGTTCATTAAACAAAAATCTAAATGAACATAACAAAAATAGGACAATGGAATCCAAAACCATGATCCTTCTTCCAAGTCTCACAAACAGAAAGATGGTGTTAATCTGAATCTTGTATATTTATGGTGATACATAGTCATTGAGCAGCTTATGATGTTAATCCTTGAAATTAGAATACAATGTCAAGCTAATAATCAATGTTTCAACACATTCCTTCAAAGATCAGAGATTAATATTTTAGGAGGTGGCACAGAAAATCAATATGTTCTTTATTTTCAGCCTCATTGTTTGATGCTTACCCACTGAATAACAGACAACACAGTTAATCAAAATCAACAGCTCAAATATGTCAAAACTTTCAGCCTCCCAATCGACATATGATTCTAAGCAAAGGGTGACAAATCTTTAGTTATCTGTCATTCAGCATTAATCATCTCTTTAATGGATAGATAGTGCACATTATGATTTTCAGGATGTGATTGTAGAATCAACAAATTGGAAGCAGAATTTCTTTTTACACATTCTTCTCGGCTTCTCAAAGGTTGGCGGTCATCCCACTCTGGAACAAACAGCCACATCATGAAATAAAACTGCATAATAAGGTGACTGGGTTTTACATCATTTCTATCATTTCTGTATTCCAGATATATCATAGTTGGGGAGGGACAGACCCGTGAAGGTCTGGGATAGAATATTGATCTTCAGTAACCCATGCTTGTCGTAAGAGGCGACTAACGGGATCAAGTGGTCAGACTCGCTGACTTGGTTGACACATGTCATTGGTTCCCAATTGTGCAGATCAATGCTCATGCTGTTGGTCACTGGATTGTCTGGTCCAGACTCAGTTATTTACAGACCGCCGCCATATAGCTGGAATATTGCAGAGTGTGGTGTAAAACTAAACTCACTCACTCACTGGGGGAGGGACAAGAATCAGGCAGGGCCTTTGTCATAAGGAACCAACAACATCAATACAAGGCCACCGCCAAAGATCGCATACAACAAAGTAACAAGCTGGTGAAATAAGCAGCCTGAATAAAGACTTATCAGAAAATGTCAGACTCTGATTTGTCATTCAGACAAGCTGCAGTGATATAGCTGGAGTATTCTCCATTACAAAACACTAATGAATAATTCCTACACAACACTGAAGTATTCCCACCTGTGCCTTTGCCCTCAAGGCATTGAGAGCATCCTGCAGTCGACGGCCATACTCAGGGTCAGCCTGGCTGTAGTTACTGACTGCCCGTTTCTGAATGAACTCCTGGGCATTGATGAGGTGTCCAGCCATATTGCTGATCAGGTGGTCACGATCAGTAGGGGACAGTACCTGAGGGATAAACATAAGAGTCAGCAAAACTCTCCAGCCAGTATCTGGACACTGTAGGTCCTTCTCAACAACTTCAGGCTTAGGATTTCATCGCAGTTTTGATCTGATATGTAATCTGAAGTGTGTAGCAAGGTTGGAAAGAAATGTCTTGTTTAGTCCCAAATAGTTGGTAATTCAAACATGATTCATATCTCTAACTTGTTTGGTGGGTCAATGATATCATGAAGTAATAACTGAACACATACAAGCATAAGACTGAAATGTACACTTGGTTGAGGTGTTTGCATGTTCTTGCGAAAGAAGATGCACCCCCATCACCATCATTGTATTAAAGTTCACAAAATCTTAACGATTGTATTCTCCCAGGTTCTTTGCAAGAATGTCATGGAAGTATAATGTCTAATGACAATAATCTTTGGTTGGCAGACTTTATCCAAAACACCAGTCACAGCAGACAAAGTCCTGTGAAATAATAAAGCAGTCACCTATCATAGGGATGCTAATAATGACTTTTTTCCCCATCATGGGCTAATTTACCAAGGGGATCTTAGTTGTGAACACTTAACACACTATCTGCTTATAGGAATAAGGGCCTTCAAACACTCAAAGCTTACACCATTTCCACTATCTGCTGAAAAGTCAAGGGGCTCTCATCACTCTAAGCTTACACCATCTACAACATGGCCTACAACAAGAAGGACAGCCCTTTAAGTTCACACCACTGATAATATCAGCATTAGAAGTACAGGTCTCTCAGAACTAACCTTCCTCCAGAAGATGCCCACTTGGCTGAAGTTGTCATCATCAGCCTGTATTGTATCTGCCTACATCCCCTGATATTTTCAAAGGGCACTCCAGGTGTTTGGTGTCATCCTGTGGGCCAGTGAAACTATTTGGGAAATAATTTGGAGCCCCACCTGAGGACAAAATAGGAGTTAATGTTTAAAACATGAAAGAAAAAGTCATCTTATTACTTCAAAAGAAAACATGCCATGATGATTAAGGTGAAATGGTATTTGATAGTCATGGCTAAAAACCTAACCTCCTGAAAGATATTTACCATCTTCTGAACATATCACATTTGTTCCATTTGTGAGTATATATATTGTTAGTGAGTGAATGGGGTTAAGGCACTTTGAACAACATTTCATCATATGTTGGCTTAACATAAATGAAAAGAACAAAATATGTAGTATGTTAGTGCAGTGATAAGGCGTCTGCCTATCACGCTGGACGCCCGGGTTCAATCCCTGGTGGAGGCACCTAGGTTCGGTTCTCGAGGTGGGCAAATTTGCATAGTATCCTTGGACAAAATACTTAGATCCACATTGTCTCAGTTCACCCAGCTATAAAATGGGTACCCGAAAGGATGTGCTGGCAATGTGAGTGTTTAGTTCATTGCACCTAACAGGCAGCATGGCGGTATGCTCCCCTGGGAGTTGAAAGAGTATCAGAAAGTATGATAGTGTCCTATGACCCTGGATAGTAATGTACGTAGTGCCGTGAGCTGGCAATGTGCCTAGATATGTGTGCCATATAAGCAGACTATTACTATTACTATTACTATGTTGCTCTTGAATATCTTATAACATAAAGTACATAATGCAACTGACCTTGGTTTTCATCAACACACTGGGGACCATCACGCTGGTAGTTGCTGAGGCGAGTGTTGAAGGGGCAGTTGACAGGGAGCTGGAGGTAGTTGCTGCCCAGACGATGCCGATGGGTGTCCGAATATGAGAAGAGACGTCCCTAAAGACATATATAGTTTTAAAAACAACTTACCTTAAACATACAATACAAAGGCACCAGTAAATAGAAATGTTCAAGCATGCCTGTTACAAAACATTCAGTATGTCAGAACCCATGTTGGCCTGTATCTGGACAAGACAACTGACCTGCAGCATCTTGTCAGGGCTGGCCTCAATGCCCGCACCATATGGGCCGGGGAGAAGGCAATCTGCTCCACCTCAGCAAAGTAGTTCTTGGGGTTCCTGTTGAGGACCATGCGACCAACAGGGATCAGAGGGTACTCCCCTTGCGGCCACACCTACAACAGACACACACACATCAACTGTTGGGTACTGTCAAAGGCTGAAGCAAAATATGTCATGGTGATGACCAACTGTGACCAGATGGGTGAGGAGAGGTGAAATGGGATTTAAAAGTGTCATATTCAAAATGATGTGAAATGCATGCAACTGTGTGAGTATGTTGCTGCTTGTACCTGTCCAGAGATGTTTAAATTGAAGAGCTCGCCTACTGACACACAATGCCACAGTTTAACAAAGATATCCAAATAAGGTATCATACATCATACAAGTTCTTTATTCACTTAATGCCAAGCACATGAGTTAACACAAGTTCAAACTGTTATTGTGTTTTGGTATGATGCAACAGGGGATCAAACCAGGGACCTACTGTTCTCTGGGTAGATGCTCTATCCTTTACACTACTTTTATGGAGGCAACATCAAAACACATACACGCATTAACTGTAGGGTTGTCATCAATCAAAATAAAGTGTGTAGAGGTTACAACCCACAGTGGTCAGAGATCATTGCCCTTGAGGATACACCTAAACACATATACACATCAACTGTTCGATAATGTCATCAACCAACATAAAGTGTGTAGAGGTTACAACCCACAGTATAATGGGAGAAAACTCCCCTTTTCCTCACACCTAAACACATAAAGCATCAACTGTTCGATAATGTCATCAACCAACATAAAGTGTGCAGAGGTTAGGATCCAAAGTAATCCGAGAATACCCGTTTGGGTACCACCTAAACACATATACACATCAACTGTGGGATGATGTCATCAACCATCATGGAGTCTTTCGAAATTAAGACCCACAATAATCACTGAATAGTGCCCTTGGGGCCACACCATAAACGGTCAACATCTTCTCTCCACATGGAACATGCACTACAGCAATCATGTCAAGATAATGCTGATAACACAATCAATTTAAGTTTGGCTTAGACTAAAGAACTATTGAGAGTTTCTTACACTGGAGTTCTGCATGAATGAACATTACTTAATCATGTAAATTACTAATGTTATTTTACTAGCTACCCCGAAAACAGTTTGTACACGATAACAATATCATGCTAGATTCCTAACAAATGGAAAGCATAATTTTAATCTGTATGTTATGGTACCAGTGTATCTCTACCGAGTAGGTTGTATAGGCTATCAAGGAGTGTGTATGCCTGTAGTGAACATGCATCCTACCTTGGTGAGGTCGAAGGGGTTCCATCTGAACCTTTCTGCCTCCTCGAAGCTCATCACCTGGATGTATGCCGACCAGGATGGGAAGGTGCCCTCTGCAATGGCATTGTGCAGGTCCCGGGTCGCATAGTCAGGGTCATCAGCAGCAAACTGATCTGCCTGAGGTCCTGTCATATTCTTGATGCCCTGGTCAGTCTGTTTATGCATGGAGAGTGAGTCAACAATACCTGGCCATTATAAATAGTATCTGACTTTGCCCATAAACTATCTGGCATTTCTGAGGCAAGGCAAGCAATCTTCTCAGTTCAAGCATCAATTCACATTCACATTTACGATATGATACAAAAAACAAAAAAAAGTGATAGGTAGGGTTTGACAATTTGAATACAGAATATTACCCAGTAGTCTTGTTTATGCTTTCATTAATGTCAAAAAGAATCAGTATCTCTGTCAGTTCACAAGCAGGTAAGATCCTAAAACATTTTGGGTCAGGACATTCAGAATCAGCATGAAATTTGACCTGTATCTAACTGGACACTCTCTTACCTTGAAGTGAAACTTGCAGTAAACACTCTCCTCACGGGCATTAACCAGCTTGAAGGTGTGGCTGCCATAGCCATTCATGTGGCGGAAACCGTCAGGTGTACCTCGGTCTGAGAACAGGAAGGACACCTGGTGGCTTGTCTCAGGACGCAGCGTAATGAAGTCCCAGAACATATCAGGGTCCTGGTAACATATTTGAATGAAAGTGTTTTGTGTCTTATACACTCAAGCATTTCATAAGTGTTTAATATATACTCAAGCTTTTTGTCAGAGTATAATACACAAAGTGTCTGATTTATTCACACCTTTTTTCACTGCATGATGTACGCAAGCATCTTGTCAGTGTTTGATGAACTCAATGTCTGACACACCCACAACATTTTGTAATTTGTCAGCATTTTTTTGTGTCTGTAAACTTAAAAGAAACTTCAAAGAAAAGTAATCTAAGATGCATTTACAAGCCTTTAAGGATTGTTGTTTTTCATGGTTATAATGAACAGCGTACAAAGGGAACTAACTCCTTTCACACTTAACTGAATGATCACAATCCATCTGCAGAATACATGTCATTACATGATCACATTAATTGCCACAAATGCATATTTCATTGAATAGGTATTCTTCTATAAACTCAGAATATTTCATTACATGTGTCACCAGCAAGGTGTTCAGACTTTGACATGATGAAATTTCTATACCATTGGTCATAATTTGACACGACAAAATTCCTCATACACACCATTGGTCTAAGTCTGTACAACTTTTCCCTTTAGTTCACTTTTCATTTCCTACATGCCACAAGTGACACATGGAACTTCATCTGACTCTAGAAATTTAGTTAAGCAAACAAATAGTATACTATGACATCTAACCCTCCTCATCACCTTGCATCCAGTTTTCAACTCTGATTGTTTCACCTGGCATACAAATTTTTCAGACACTCTAAATGTTGGATACCCAAAAGATATATGGAGAGTCTGTACATTAAAACTAAATAGCATTTAGACCTGGCATATTCCAACTGCAGAAACGTTTACACAACTGATCACTTTCCCTATTAATATCCTACATTTGAGAAAAATCGTGCAACTGTAGGCAGAAAGAATAGATAGCACATGTCAGTAAGTCAGACTGTCCTACCTTCAGGTTGGTGGCAGGGTTCCTCTTCTGGGTGTGAATAAAACTGGGGAACTGTAATGAACAAACAGCTCAGATATAATTCCTTGATAATAAGTTCATTCTGTCTGGTCTATGAGAGGTAACACATACACAAGATTCCCCACAAGACCCAGTATGTATAACATCAGAAGAGCAGTCATTTGCACTGAACATGTCCATTGTTCCTCTATTGTCGAACAGTTCTCCAGACTGTAAAGTTATCAAGAGGCTAAAATGGAACCCTGAATCTGAAGCACATCAGTGCTGAATTTGTCAGTACAAATTTCTAATTCAAGTAAATGAAGTTATGACTAATGTAAACGACCCGTTCAAAAGTTCAATGTAATTCCATATGTTTCCAGCACTTACTCCCCTCCCTGGTTCCTAGTACCTCCTGGTTTATGCAAGAGCCTGAAGTCAGACTCTGTAGATGATTGTGTGACATCAGAACCTGATTAGCCCGATCACTGTTCATGCTCCTAGTCACTTGTCTGCCTGGGCCCTGTTTCACAAAGCTATCGTAGCGATACGACTATCATAAGCCAATGTTAACAGTATAGGAGGGAACAAATTTCTTCCACCGGGGCCTACGTGGAAGAAAAACGCACAGCTTAAAATCACAGAAACCTTAATTGCTCGGCTATAAACTTGCATAAAAACAAACGGGAACATTCTCCGTGTAGCTACAGGACACAGCTATCCAACGAAGAGCGGCATGCGCGTGTAAGGCGATTTATGCAGCTCCCAAGGGAGCCGTGCTGAAATAGGTGATACAATCTGGGAGTACGATTACTACAAGAATAGTTACAAGATCTTAGGCTTACGAGAGCTTTGTGAAATGGGGCCCTGGTCATCACAAAACAGCTGAAATATTGCTGACTACAGTGATAAACAACATTCACTCACAAATATATATAATAGGTCTATTACTGTTTCACTCAATTCGACAAGTGTTCCACTTATGTTCAACTCTTGCACTATAAACATACTAGTTGCATATACCAGTGTTCAGTGTTACTTCAAGTGTTCAACCAATGCTTTACCTGTGTCTGCTGTCAGTACTCACCAGCATGGGGTCTCTGATAAAGAAGATGGGAGTGTTGTTGCCCACAAGATCCCAGTTTCCGTCTTCAGTGTAGAACTTCATGGCAAACCCGCGGGGATCTCTGGCTGTGTCAGCTGAACCCTTCTCTCCACCTTTAGGTAGTCAGAGCACATATCACATATATGATCATCTGCAGTAAACAATATTTATGTTATCAATAATACAGTAGGTTTGGGTGTGGATTATGAACTGCACTGAACAAGAATTGGCTCCTGTTATGTGTATCATCAGAGGTATAAACATATAAAACAGATTTCACATTGTGGAATTGATGCTAATTGTGAAAAAACAGATTTACAACAATACATCCACAAATGCAAAAACAATTTCAATTAACTTGTATTATCAGACAATCAGGAAAAAAGAAGTCTGCTAGTGGGCATGACCATGTGTATGGAAACATTAATGCAAAACAGACTGCTTAGTAAGTAATCACATGGAATCACTTGCAAATTAATTCTTCAGGCTACATTGGAGCTGAATGAACTCTGTTTGCTCTCAAATCATTGCCTATGCTGTTGTCATCAGTCTGGGATCATAGATATTTGGACCAGGGTACCATTGTATAATGTGACCTTTGTGCTAAGATAGCCGGTATCATAACTCCCATACCTTCATACAGACTTCTGACATTTACAACGTTAACACGTTGTTAAGGTTGCTTTGTACAATGACAACCTTGTCAAAATGTCCCTGGTTTTATGAATGACCTTGCTAAAAATTCTAAGAAGTGGATAAAAGGTTACAAAGCCCATTCTTAATATCTTTTTCTGTAAACTTTCATTTAAATAAACACCTTAAGAAATACATTAAGAAAACAACTGATACATGTTTTCTGTAGGTTTCTCTATCTTGGTATATTGACAAGAAAAACAGCACATAAAATATCATAGGGCTGTATTTCTGCTGTTCTCGATGAGAGGAAGCAAAACACCTCACCTAAGCACAACCTATTCATAATCGACCCAAACTCAAACATGCAGCACACCCCATGTGAGTTTCAGTCATTCTGTTCCTAGTGTAGAATGGTCTAGAAATCTGAAGTGTTGTGCTTGAGCGTAAACCATGTAAGATAGAGATAGTAATTAAAGCACCAAATTCATTAGAAATTCTTCAAGTTTAAACTTCACTAGCTCACTGCATTTATCCCATGGCTACGAGGCGGATGCATTAGATTTACATTAAGAGGCTGAAATCAAACTTGCTCAGTTCCCCCAAAAGAAAGAACAAGAGTCAATAATTTGTAATTTTTACCAAAATGATCCTCTCTTCTTAACTTGGATACAGTAGAATAAGAAACCATATCTCGGGTCCGCAAACCTGCTAGCATTATGAGGACTTCAAAAAAGCAGAGGATACTGAATACAAAAGCACAGGACCTATCTATTCCTAAACAGTTAGAACAAATGCACCTCAGTCAGGTGACTGATTGTAAGATTAGATTAGTGATCTTAATGCCTGTCTCAAAAGAGATGGCACTGGTGATGGCTGCCCAATATGTGGTAGGGTGGATCCCTTCAGCTTCCTAGTGACATACAGGTGCTAGAGATTTCAGGTTATCTGTGGAAGATGTATGCCTTAGTGGATGATCGAATGCCATCTTCAAATTGCAGGGTTCACATTTACAGGTAACTACCAGTATTTACTGGTAAGATTAACCATGTTCAGGTAAATTGTGTGACTCCCAGGGACTGACAGAAAATGTCACTTGCAAATATGAATATGTTTTAACTGAACTTCAGAACTTATTAAATAATATTCAGCTTGATGATGATATTTGCTTGTGACCTGCTGTCTAGACTACAAGTTGTCCGGCTTTTGTGGAAGTCGCAGTTGCAGAGTGTGTTTGGTGTCTGAGGGTGTGGAAACAAAAACACTAGAATTTGTACGCTACTGAGAAAATGTAATCCCAAACATAACATATGTTACCCATGGGGATTTCCTCGCCTGTAACCAAAACGTTTCCCCTTTGCTTCATGGTTGCATTTTTCCAGAGGCAAAATGAGCTACACAAATGAATATAAAACAAAAATATCATTCCTCTATTCCTCATGTTGATTGTCTGGTGTTACACAATCCCTACAACAATGTTAACCCTTGTTCACGAGATCCTGATAATGAACCGAGAGGTAGAACAAAGCTTCTTTGCTTTCCTGGAGGAATGATAGCTCTTGATAGTCCCAAATCAAATACATGATCAGGTGAAAGAAGAAGCTGAATGTCATCGGACCAAACGTAATCAGTTGAGAACCCACTAAAGAGAGTTGATCCACAGTAGTCTGGAGGAAGATTAGATGCTTTGTCCTGAAGATTAGATGCTTTGTCCTGAAGTAAGGAACAAGTCCAATTCCTTATCCACTGCAAGCACAGGCTGGGACAAGGCTAGATCTGATCAATCTGAGAGTTTCATCTAGGAAGGTTTTAAATTCAAACACAAAGAATACACATGAGAAATTGACAAATTATCCCTCTGACAACTCTACATCTTCAGTCAGCAAAGTAAGGAAGGAAATGATACATAGAGTGTGCTGCATGCTTGTGGTAGAATCTATCGTTTGTTTGGGTGATTTATGATGAAACCAGGAACATGAAGGGCACATGACTTAAAACTTTGTTTCCACTTGCAATCAACAACAGAATATGTGAGTTAGAATAAGTTATTTAAAAATCTCATAATTTGCATTTTGGTCAGATGATATCGGATAAATAACATCATTATGATAAAGAAAGTACATCTTCATAATTCAGAGGTACAGATAAGCTGCGTCTCTGCGTCAATTACGCAAAGATTTATGTGAAAACTCAATTCCTGTGAAGACTACTGGGTACAAGCGTATGAAGTTTTGTAAATACTCAATAAATGTAATCTAACATGCATACAAACAAAAGTAGATAAAATAACTGAGGTATATTGAAAGGTTCTATTTCAGCACCTGAACCTGGCAACTTGTAGTTTTTCTTATCGTTTCTCATATAACAGATCAAATATAAATAACAAACATGTAAACCAACATTTAAACTTGATTGTATACATATTTACAGTTAATGGAAAGTGGCAAACTACCCAATTGAGTTTGAGTGAGGTGGGTACAATTTATTTGATTACTCAAAGGAAAATTAGGATACCCAATTGAGATGAACACAAGTGAGAACATAACTCAATGACCCAAAGAGTTATCTGTAGCTCTGTAATTTACATAGCTCATGTTTAATTTGGGCATTAACCACCCTCGATCGCCTGCAAACACAGCAAAGGTGATTAAAGTGTAAAATCCCCCATGCCTGATGGTTATTGCCAGGAATAAATAGGTTTCTCGATAATGGCTTGCACAGTTTCGACGAGTCGTCAAGTTCATGATTTAATTTTGTCTAACAGTAGTACGATTACTCAATCTATCTTTAGTCAGAAAAATATCCTAAGACACACTTACCAACAGTTGAAAACCTCACTGCCATTGGAGTCCGCTTGCCGACATGTTCAAATACTTTGGCTTTACAGTACCGTGTGATGTCATGTGTCACCTCAAAGTAGCCAAAGGCACCTGCAATGATGGAAATACAAATGAGTGCATTTAACACAAGTATGATACATCATCTAATACATGTATTCATACACTTTCCTTATCTCATCATCACAACTTCCTGACACAGACCAGTACTTGCTGTTTACAATGACCAAATAGAATGCTCATACAAAACTCTTTCTGAAAAACGTTTTCATTTCATGATGTATGCTTCAAAAATGATCCCTTATAATCTAGTTTTAAAAATTATACTAACAGAAATGGTAGAATTTCATTAAACAATGCATAAATAGGTGTACACCCGAACTGAATAAGTTTTCAATTAGTTTTCAGCATCCCATATGCTTGTCGTAAGAGGTGACAAACTGGATCAGGTGGTCAGACTCACTGCCAAGATTGATGCATGTCACTGTATCTCAAAGACCGATGTCAGTGACTGTATGACAGACAGCTGTCTTATAGCTGAATGCAGCATTACTATAAAAAAAACAGATGGGAGTATCAGCAGCAATCACCTGCTCCTTTAGCATGTACAACACGTTCTGGAATCCGCTCCCTGTTGAAATGTGCCATCTCATCTGTAAACACAAAGTCCTGCAGCAGCACAGGCCCCCGTGGTCCAACAGTCATGGTGGCATTCTTGCGCCCCACAGGGGCACCTGTGCCTGTGGTGAGAACATCAGGCTTCTACAAAAGACAGCAATATCTTACTCTAAACCCTCCTCTCAACAAAATAACTACAATGTGAAATAAAGGAGGCATATTGTTTCTATTATAGGATAATACATCAGTTGTGTGGGAGCACACTGTCAAATGCTGCTAACTGCATCACCATGATGATCTCAACCCAGAAAAATATTCGAATGAAAATTTAAGCCATTAATTATGCCCCATCCTTGGTGTTAACATGCCAGAAACTAAATATATTTTCTCTGATTCCACTTTCATATATCACAATCCATAACTCATTATACAATTTTGAAAGTCTGAATGTACCATTATAGTGGAAATTATATATGCTCAAAACATGATCAAACAGGATAAATTGCACCTCAAATTAAATCTTTCCATGAACTTCAATTCATCACATTCAATCCTAAAGTGTGCATATACTGTTTAAAATACATTATCCAAAATATATCTAAATGTCATTCGGACATCAAACATGAATTCGCAAAAACACATTAACAACCGTGATTTAACACAAGGTTTTCAAGTGTTCGCCTGCCGTGAAGCAATATTACCAACTAGCAATATTACCAACTAGATCTACGAGATGAAGACTGCCACAAGCATTCGACCATTGTCTGACAAAAAGTTATGTTCATAATGATGCCGTGAAAGCATCACCAGATTCCACTGGCGATCACTAGAGGCTACTGGAAACTGTCTGATAACAGTGTGCAATGTGCGGTCTGCAAATCTACATCAAGAGTGTACTTTGGCCGCAAGAAGTCAACTCTTGTGTAACGTCGTTTGTCACTTCTACACCATGACAACTACTGTACTCACTCCCTGTGTTTTGCTGAAAGCATTCAACTGGTCAGCAGCTTTGTCCCTGTTCGCCATAATGGTGCAGCGATGGAAAGACAAGAACTTTGACTGTTTGATAATATGTACACCGAAAGATAATCTACTCGGGTCAGTCTACTCCGTGTTCTAGCCAATCCAACTGGGCGACCTTGACCTAGGGCCGGGGTCAGAACGAGCAAAGTCTGACTGCGAGCCTGACAAAACTAGATCGTGTTGTCAAAAACATATATAATATATGTTTCATATCATTGCTGAAAAACTCATTTAATTATGGCTTCAATAATACTTTCCCATTTTTAAAAAATGGATTGTAATAATATGTTGACAACGTTCATTGTTACCTGATATATTTTATCAGATCGTTGCAAATCCCAACCATTCTGAAACTGGTTCAACACGTTTAAACTTCATTTGTTATCTGTACTATTTTAATGTAATTTATGTAACAGTTACAGCTGTTGTTTATTACTGCGTCTCGCGTCTCACACATCTGAAGCAGACAAATAGACAAATAGACTATATTTATTTATTTATTTATTTATTTATTTATTTATTTATTTATTTATTTATTTATTTATTTATTTATTTATTTATTTATTTATTTATTTATTTATTTATTTATTTATTTATTTATTTATTTATTTATTTATTTATTTATTTATTTATTTATTTATTTGAAGGTGAATTTAACCAAGCTACAGTTTTAGTCATCTAAACCTCTGTCCTTATTGTACTTTATAAGTACACGTCTTTGAGGGCCTTGCCTGTTGGTGGTGTAGAGACATCTTTGCTAAAGCATACCGAGATGCTTACTGCCCAAAACACCTATACTTAAATCATCCATCTTGTCCAATGAACAATGCTATGTATAGCCAATGTTGGTAACGGGCAGGTAAGGGTAAACTGTCCTGAGTAAACATCTCAATATTAAGATATCCACCCAATCAAACGAATCATTACCAGAATGGTTGCAGATGAAACGTTGTGTAATAACTTACCCATCAAAAAGAAACTCTTACTAACTGTTTTACCGTTTAATGGAGGTACAGAAATCGGATTTCACGAAGGAGTCTTTTTCCTTGAATTGTGTTCACTAACAGTTTAATCGCATACTTTCATCATGCATTGTCTTGATACAGGTTATTTATTTTAGAAGGCAAGTCTATTTACGATGATTTAGTAACTTTCATTTTCACGCAGTGTCAGGATTATCGGGTCCTATATGTAGATATTTCTCTTTTATTGTTGGTCAGTTTTGCCACCTGTCTAATTGCACACATGTGGTTGTAAATATATATTTGTAACTATGAGTAGTTTATGTTCAGCCTTTTTCATTGTTAGTGTTGACTGGGGTCTTGATCCCTTAGATGGCCAGCCTTTAGTTACATTTAGCTGCTAATAATAAAACTGAGCTTTCACAATGGTTTCTAGTATTTCTTTATTCTTATGTAATGATACCCGTATGATGAAATCCATGCGTGCCCGTGAGTGTTGAGGGTGGGGCAAGGTGGGTGGGGCGGGGGCGGGGGCGGGACTAAAACCGTTTAAGGTGTATCATAGTAATCAGACATACTTACATTGTCAGTTTCCAGTTTCTGCATGAATGACACTCTTGAAAGTCAACACTTTTATAGTTCCACAATCTTCTATGAAGCTGCAACCTCTTGACTTGTGGACCTTCACGCTGACATGTGCTATCGAGACAGTCAAGGTTTCTAATCACCATTAACCATTTATTTACCCCTCAATCCACGGTATTTGTACATTTTCATTGTAAGGTCACTGTAAGTCCTAGTAGTGCCTCTGATTTGCTCATTTGTATTTTAATATATATGATACAGCTCATATATATTTGACTTAATGCCAAATAATATGCACCTCATTTAAACATGTTTAGAAGAATAGGATAATACACAATGAGGTGCTTGAAACAAGTTCCGTTGTACGCGATTAAATGCTTTTTGAATAACGACATCCTTAAGTTATAACGATGATACAATTTCTAAACATGTTCGGAAATTAAACATGTTCAATTTCTAGACATTGGAATGTTGTGTTTTTTGGGTAGTTATGAGTCGATACTTAGTAAATATGAAAGATGCCAGTATCTTCATCGTGATTGAAAACGCAGCAATTTGCGTTGTGATCTGCTACTGCAACAAGCTTGAGTGAATTGTTTACATTTTCATGCTCACGCCAAACACGAAAATCAAGAGTTTGTAATTTGTCATGTCATACCAGAGCCTATTTGGCACCTAACTGCACGAGTCAAAACACGTCTGTTCAGAAACTGTATTTATTCAAGAACCAACATGACACAATACCGATTACAAATCATGATGAGCATTTTTCAGTATTATCGCTTTAATCAACAAATGGAATAACATATGATAACCCAGAGACACACAACTCCAATATTGTATGCAACACCATTGCATCTGTATCATAACATACATGTATATACGAAATTAACAATTTCAAAAGTACAGACGATTGTCATTTTGATTTACATGTGATGAATGAACAATGATCTCGGAGAAGGTGATCGTTCAGTTGCCATGTAGTTAAATCAAGTTGTTGACGAAACACCTTTAAATAATATTTGTATTTACCAACTCTTTAAACCACATTAATAAATACAATGGTTTAAAAAAACGTATTTCGTCTCGAGTGAAAAACGAAAGTAACAGTTGGAAGGAGTGTCAGACATGGAAATATGAAAACGAAACTTGAAGTACATCAAACCACGTGACAATAAACTTCTTGGAAGTTGACGTCACCTGACCGATTAGTAAAGAACAGGTAATCAGTTGACACACCTTCTGAATCGTCGAGGTGACACTCAGCAGTTGTGGTAGCAATTCAGGTAGGTTCAAAAACTAACTTGTCATCTTAAAGCAGTCATTGTATAAAATGTCACGCCTGTCCATCAGCCTATAAACTATGAACAAGAGACGGAGAATTGTCTAAGACATGTTTCAATTCCAGTTCGTGCAATGTGTAAGCGAACAAAAAGTCCACTACAACTATGAGCGAAATACCATATATAGGCCTACAGCAGGAACTACACTGGTCTACATCGTATAATGGATTTCAATCGAAAGCTCGACATTGCTTTTTATATTTTGTTCGTTGTATAGTAAAAAAAAATTATGATTTTATTTTCAAACAAGTTTATAGAGTAGATTCGATGGTGAACTATTGCCGCCAGAGTATGAAAGGGCAAGTAAGGAATTTCGTTGAAATGAAACGCTTGTCATGTAGTGTGGTGTTCAATTATGAATAATGTATGAATTACCTCCCTTGTGTCGTCTGCTCGTGAGAACAGGAAGTGCGTCCATGAGATACTGTTTTCGTTGTGTACATGCTACTTTATGTGAATATTTTTCACATAATTGTGGTAATTTATCTTTCCACACCTCATGTTTGCAATATGTGCATAGCATACACACCATAATATGTGTGATGACATCATTAATATATTTGACAATTCTCAGTAGGTGGCGTCTTAATCGCTCGTACTTTCGTTTTGCGTTCCCAGTTTCCGGGAAATTCCCAGTTTTGATTAACTGAGACTACGACTAACTGGACGAATGAGACTGATGACGAAGAGATTGTCGAGACTGTGGCCAGTGTTGGGGAGCTGCTAGTTTTGGCAGGTTTGTTGTGTTTTCTTATCTTGACAAATCTGTATTGTTAACATTTAGACTTGTCGGAAGTAGTTGTTTATTTCTGGCACTATTTGTCAAATTTTAACTCTCGTGTTCCATGACAGTAGTCTTGTGTCTTGACTTAAGTCTACTTTGGGCCAAGACGTTGTTATTTGTTCTTAACAAGTAATTAATATATGTGTGCGTTCTGATCAGCTCAGAGTTTGCTGTTATCAGTCATGTTTTGTTTTCTGACAATGACATATGCACTCTAACGTGACAATCACAGAGGCGAGATATCAAGATCATAGAAACTACTTGGAGTACTGAAATATAAAGTGGCAAATGGTTGGGGTAGGTTATAAACAAAAATAATCTGATATGGGTTGTGAGTGATGTGTGGACCAAGTCAGCACCTTATTATATACAGAGCATTCCAAGACGAATCTAAGAGATGCTGGACATATATGACTAAATGCTGAACATTTTAGGTATTTGCATCAAATACTTTTTGATATTTTTTTTCATGTTAGATTTACCCCAGCTTTCTATCACTGTGAAATAGCCATGACATTTTGGGAACTTACATACGTCCACAAACAGAAGACAAAAATGACTTATTCTTTATGGTTCATTAATTTCAACAAGGTCTCACACTTAGTCACTGTGAATATATATTTGTCCTTTGTTTGAGTCGATGAAATTCTGCAATTCTGCAATATTATGTCTTTCAGTCATTTCCTTTGCATTACTGAACATGTTAAACCATTCAGAAAATAATTATTTGCCTGAAATAATATATATTTACGAAGGTTTGTTAACATTCTGCACTTGTGTGATTTTGTTACAGACCATACAGTTCCAACATGAAGTGCCGAGGCAAGACACGAGATGGTAGCCTTTGTAGTTACACTAGTGAGACAGTTTATAAGTTTTGCCCCGAATGTGGTAAACCTCCTGATGAACCTGACGAACCTGACATTACAGTCCTGTGTCCAGGGAAAGGTGGTCAGCCTTGTGGAAAGCCAATCAAATCCAGCTTTAAGTTTTGTCCTGAATGTGGATGGGAAATTGATAAAGCTATATTCACCAAGAAAGAAGTAAACAAATGTCCTTCATGTAGTGCAGATGTGAAGGAAGGGGAGAAATTCTGTTCAAATTGTGGAGAAGGGCTCGTTTTTATAGATGATGAAAAAGGTGAGTGTTAGTGCTAATGTCAGTGTATTCAATAAATATCTTAGCTTGCTGAATCCACCATGTTGAAGCAATTGTATAACACTTGAATCTCTAAATCCAAATACACTTATAAGATTTGATGCATCACTCTTTGATGACATGGTCTTTTTGCCCTGTAGGTTCTTATGTATTGTTTATCATGGTTAATTATTGACAATGTTGTTCAAAACTTTGAACATTAAATTTACATCTCAGAAGTTGTGGCACAAATGTGATGATGTTTACTATTTAACATGTATGAGGCTCGAGGATTCTTTGAGTGTAAATTAGGGGATAACTGTACTATGTTTGAGGAATTGGGGACGTATACCAGTGGTTATATAGCCGCAAATTTAGTTATATCGGTGACACGCAAGCGGAGCCGATATAACGTTAAATTTGAGGCTATATAACCACCGGTATACATCCCCAATTCGTCAAACACAGTACAGTTATCCCCATTCTAATTCAACTCGTTTTACGCTGTTTTTTCATGAAAGAAATTCATTATTTAAACCAGGTCAAAGTTCCTCTAGGTCAAAGGTTAATAATATCACTCCTTGAACTTACACCATCGCCAGAAAAAGTAGTTCCCTTTTCAAACTACACACGCTTATTATGTGCACACAGACTAAATCTGACAATGATGAATAGATCATAGTATTATAGATAAAATGGAAGGAATTATGATGAAACCGCCCTCTAGTTATAGAAACGAAGCGCCGGCTGATTCCTTAACTACGGGCCATTATCAGTTCTGTTGTCAAATGACATCACAGCAGGTGACGTCACGCTCCATAATGACGTCATAATCTTGTTTCATGATCTAACAGTATTGGGTCAACAGCCCGTTGCGAGTAAGTTGTTTGAATTTAAAATTAAATTTATGATACTATTTTGTCATTTTTAACACAAATTCCACCCATTTTAGCTGGATAGGGCAGTTAATTGATCTATGACTTCTGCAAATGACAATGTCCTGCAAAGCAGCTTTACCCCAAAATTGTAGGGATACATTTAAAGGTTTTGGTGAATCGGTTTTCAGATTGTGACCGTATATGCTCATTGTACGGTCGGAAATTTATAGCATTGACCAATCAGAACTCGTGTTACATACTAAGTTGAATTAGAATCAATTATATTGTTTGTCCATTGTCCTACATGAAATCTGTTTAATGTTTTGGCAGTTCCGTTTCTTTACTGAACCATGTTAAGTGTGATAGTAATTAATTAAAGTGTCAATGCAAGTACATCACATTCTGAGCTGAAAAGTTTTATGAAACATCTCAGCTATGGGATCTTTTGAAAAATACTCTCTGACTAAAAACATGGGTGCAGGGCACTACTCAACCATTTCTGCATGTATGATAACAAAATCTAATACGCAGTTACTATGTGGTTTTAGAAATAACATAATCATATGATCTGTTTTGTGACATGTTCTGTTTTGGACCAAGTTACAACCTTTCACTTTTATGTATCACTGTCATTGAGGTGTAACTGCACTTTCAAAACAGGAGACATCCATCCATTTGAAGTTGATACTTTGCATGTATAATCTTAAGTTTTGGGGTCTTTAGAAAGTGTTACAGGATTCTGATCCAACATCAAACATAACTGCAGTGGGAGTCATATTTAGAAATCCAAATAGGTTCTGATTGGCCATATTATTTCAAAATGTATTGAAATTTGGTTTAGATGTTTTGTAGTGGTGGTCAACCTATGTTTCATGCTGTACAATCTTAGTTTCAACCTAGTTTAATAATAATGATGCCACAAGAGTGAATAGACCGATCCAGTCCTGGCCAATAAACCCCGCCCACTTTCTCTCGTCATCTTTTTTGACGTTAGGTAGCACAACCACATACTTATCACAATGGCCACATCGCCCCTTTGAAACATGATTTGCGTTGTTGATGGATTTTGCTTGTGGTACTCTAATATCCTTGTTTCTGAATGATATCCACGTTCGAAGCTGCAATCTAGGGGGGCGGCAACTCCCGGGAATTTTTTAAAAAGTAGACGCCCTCAGATGCATTTTCCTGCTTTCTGAAGGTAAAACGACTCCATTTATGTAATGTTCAATTTGTATGAAATATTATTTTTTTCCTGCAACTTTTGACCAATTGTTTTCATGTCTTTCAGTGGCATTTAGAAGTTGTACATTGATGTCCAAGATATTTTTATGGATTAAACTTCTTTGTTAATTTCTCTGATGACGTTTCGAGACCATTCCAGGTCCCTTCATCATGTTTTTTAGAGAGAAAAAATTGTTCAAAATTGTAGCATCTGTACATAATGTTCTGAAACTTTATAAATATGTCTAGACATATATCTGTATATATGCAAAACAACTGTTTTGTTCAGTTTAAGTGTTAATATACAATAGTTGTATTATCAAATTCAGTTGACAGTCCAGAAATTGCTTGTGAAATTTAGATTTTATACATGATATCTTCATGTTCGTTCAATATTACTCACTCAGTTTACTCATTGCAACTTAACAAGATAGGTCAGTCAGAAAGATTGCTTTATTTATGATCAACCATGAAATTAACACATTTACATTTCCAAGGGAATATAAAAAAATGATTTTGACACCATTATACACTTTTAACTTTATTTGAATTTCCTCCAGTCACTCTTCCTGGAGTAGATAGTGCATAGACTTGGTATTAAAGGCGTGCTTCTGTATGTGTGCAGCTCATTATTGCACGTGTCCATAGCTTGAGCCTTCAAAGAGAGGAGAAAGACCTTTCACAAGCCACACTGCCAACTGGTATGGTCATTAACACTGTCTACATTACACTGGGCCAAGGGCTCTGCTGCTGTAGTTGGTCTCTCCAACTCAGATCTCAGGGCAAACATTCTCATCCAACTTTCAACCTCTGCCTCATACTTGCTCACAACAGCATAGGTGAGACAGCATAGGTGAGAAACATATCATAGTGTGACAAGATAGAGGCAGTGCACGCTTCATCTAATCGATCATGGTAGCTTCAGATGAGATTCTGTGCTGCTATGATTGACTGGTGAGAATTGTCAAACCTTGTGTCAAGTTCTGTGAGTACATTAAATGCATTCACACTTTGATCCTGTAGTAATCACTGACAGCCACTTGATGGGTAACAGCATTTGCATGAAATCCAGAAACTCGTGGCCTCACGATGTCAATATCAACAGTTCGTCCAATGCTGACAATTCTATCCCAGACTTTTGACCATATCTCTTCTGTGCACGAGTTTGCAATGCATTCATGGGAGACAGCAAAGTCACGTTATGCACTAACCTAAATCACATGACACAGCCTGCAAGGAAAGAGTAACAGTAGTGCAGATACTGAATACAAACTGGGCAACAACCAGGGCAGCGATGAACTGAGAATCAGTCATTAGGCGAATGTATGAATTGGCATCTAATTTTACATCTCCAGAGCTTGAATTTGCAATCTGATCCAGACGTTGCAGTACAGTCTGGTATTTTGCCATCAGTGCAGACAGTGTTGATACATTAGCTGCACCAAAAACAATGAAGATCCAAGATATGCCTGCACCTGTACTCCTGTTCCAGAAATAGGAAACCTGTGATGCAAAATTCAGAGGTACAGATAAGTCTGCGTATCTGAGTAAATTATGCAAATATAAATGTGAAAACTCAATTCCTATTAAGTCTATTGTGTACATGTACGCTTGAATTTTTGTAAATACTCAATAAATGTGATCTTACATGCATACACATATGTGAAATCTTAAGTCTGAGGTATACTGAGAGGTTCTATTTCAGGACATGAACTTGACAACTTGTAGTCTTTCTTATCGTTTTTCATACTACAGATCAAATATAAATAGCAAACACTAACGTTTAAACTTTATTATATTTTCAAAATTAATGAAAAATGGCAAAATACCCAATTGAATTTGAGTGAGATGGGTGCAATTTATTTGGTTACCAGAGCTACAGATAAAATGTTAGTAACTGTTACTCAAAGGAAAATTAGGATACCCAATTGAGATGAACACAAGCGAGAACATAACTCAATGACCCAGAAAGTTATCTGAAACTTTTTGAGCCAGTTAGCCAAACACACAGACACAAATCAATGTCTATTTTATTGACACCTATGCAGGGATTGGGAAAGAGAACTTTGACAATGGGCCATTTTCAGGATTATTAGCCATTTTCTGAATTTAGAATGGGCCACTGCCGTTGTATCAATAGTCAACTTCCAAATGTTAATGGGACATTTTTTTATTCTAATGTGTAAAATGGCCCATGGCCCCTGCTTTTCCCAATCCCTGCCTATGTGTCTGCCTGCCTGCCTGCTAGTGACAATATGCAATACACAACTTCAATCATTGACCACATGCAATTTGAACTTGAAACGTATCAGGCTATGCACCATAAACAAAATACATTGATTTATGGCTCGTGCACCTGAGTTCTGTCTCTGTCACATTATGTAATTACACAGACAGGCAGGTGTGATACTTGTACACATGACATGTTATTATGTCTGTTGGTTGCAAACAAACAGCATCCATTTTTCTCGGATGACTGGATCGGACAGAAACCGGTGCAAACTCAGATTGTCAGTTTCAAGTCCTGCTTTGTACTCGAAAAAAACAACAGTTTCCAGCCACGCAGTAGTTCACCATCTCAGTATTTGTTGATTGGATCGAACGCAAATGCAGAAAAAATGAGCAAGTATTTACAAAACCCAACATCTCTATATACACACGATGAGCCCTCGGCGTATCGGCAAATATACCAGCAAATAAAAGTCTTCATAAACACTTGAGTGCACACCCACCCGCTCTGACTGGGTTCGGTCTCCCGGGTGCTTTGTTTCGAGGGAAGTAAGTAAAAACAATTTTGTAGGAATTGTCCATGTTTATAACACTTGCAAAGTCTTATACTGCTTTTTGTTGTCATCTTAGGTAATGATTCTGCACATGTGCAAAAGTGTTGAAATCTGTGCAAATTCTCATCTTCGAGCAGACGTAAGTTTCGTGAATGATAGTGCCAACATTTAACTGATTGTGAGGCTTATCACACTCCTTGATCCGCCTCAGATCTTTTGTCTTGGCCGTAATAGTTTGTTAAATGCACACATCAAATCGCAACAATACGTAATAGATATCGTTGGTTTGTTTTCAGCTATAGAAATTACTCTAACCCCATTTGGAGAGGCTGTTGGTGGGATGGTTTAGGCTAGTTTGCTATCCTTCACCTTTTAATGTATGAGCAGGGCCGGATACAGCTTTTTGAGAAAGGGTGGGTGCACACTATTGACAAAGGAGGGGTGCACACTTCATTTTCACAAGAGTTTCAATGGTCATTTAATAAACTTTCAGGACAGGGACAGTGTGTTTGGGGGTGCACCCCTCTGGATCCGCGTAAAAGGATCCTGTGTATGAGGAATAGCAAATTAAGTTCAAGCAGGCATGCACTGTCCAATATGAGCTAATCAAAGCCTAAGATGATTGCCTTGGTTGTTGAGGCAAATGACTCCATGACCTCCCATTATCCCATACTCTAAATCTAATCTAAATTAGAGAAGTTTCAAATGTTTTACTTTTATCACAAGTCATGAAGTTTCCCTTGTTCGGTCACTTCTCTAAAGGTCTATATTGCAAAAATGTGGACTAGAAGTGGCCATCTATTCAACCGCAGCCAGCACCTTCTGGATGCATTCAGTCATCCTCTAGACCTACTCCTCATGAGACCAGAGCAGTGGCATCGACCATGACACTACTAAAACTGCTCTTTTCATAGAAGGATGTTTATGGCAATTAGACATGATCTTCACATAATACTACATATGACTTATCAGTGGCTTATATCCAAAGACTGTACAAGTTTACCCAGCCATCAACTGCCTGTCAACGCAGTTAACATATACCTACCCAAGGCTGCCAGGAGAATTGATCAAAATTGTTAATCTGCAATTGACTTGTCTATATTCTCCACCATGGGCTAAAAAGTGATCATTCTCCCTCAGTGTTCTGCTGATGTGTTGAAGTACAATCATTACAGAGACACTATCTCAAGGCTATGTCATTATGACAAGCCACGAGACTCTGAGTCTATACTCAAGACTCTCATAGGAAACACGTAAGTTAAAAAAACCTTGTATGAAGATTTCTTAAAGTTCCTCTCACATGTTTACGATGGCCACAGGTAAAGAAGAAAAAAGAAGTGCTCATTGACGGAAAAGGTTCAGAGCATTAAGAAGAGATAATCATCACACTGTTCTCCATTTCACCTTTGGGGCGTTGGGGTAGCCTAGTAGTTAAAGTGTTCGCTAGTCACGCCGAAGACCTGGGTTCGATTCCCCACATGGGCACAATGTGAGAAGCCCATTTCTGGTGTCCCCGCCGTGATGTTGCTTGAATATTGCTAAAAGCGGCATAAAGCCACACTCACACTCACTCACTCACTCACTCATTCCATTTCACCTTTATGTGTGTCATGGAGGTTCATTGTGAAGAACTCACCATCTGGGACTGGGATTCTGAGGCCTTTTTAACATCAGGGTGGAGCAGGTTCCCTGTCTCATAGCTTCATCATTGTCCTCTGACAATAGTAGGCAAAAATCATGTTAGTTTGGATTGCCCAGTCCCTGAGAGTTTGTGTAAAGTTTTGCTGACATCTGGGCCTAGATTTTCGAAGCTCACTTAGCGCTAAGATAATGTTAATGTATGGCACTAACGACTAGCTATCTCAGCACTAAGAGAGCTTCGAAAATCTGGGCCCGGATCTTTTGATGAGAACACAAGGTCAGCTTGCTTGTGAACATGTCATCTTACAGTTGTTGTCTACCTACAGACTGTGGTAATTTGGAACCCACCTTCCCACTGTGGGATAAAAGCAGAACATGAGATAGTATAAGTTTTAAAATTTGAGAATTTTAACTGAAAATTATATGTTTATAATACTTTTTCTCAAACTCTGCAAATATCCTTGTCACCGAAACAAGGTATATCTTTATAAGTCAGACAAGTCATAACTTTTCAGTGCTTGAATATATTATTTTGTACAACTTTAAATTCACTGAAATTGTCTTCAGACTGGTCATGTTATCATGTTAAAATGTAATTAAGAGCAAAGCAACAGGACCTGGATACTTTTTAAAATTATTTTACAGGAGGTATGTTCCTATTGCCTTCCTTGGTCTGATTAAGTAATGTATGTCATTCTTCTTTTTTAAGACAAAAGCCAAGAAAAGGAGCAAGTCGCAGATAAAAATGCAAATGTCCCAGAGACAGCAGAACCCATGACAGTAAGCAGCTCTGCTGGAATACAGGAGACATCTGTAGCAGCTGAAGTGGAGAACCAGCAGCAACAATTTCCTACTCCCTCACCTAATGTGGCTGTCATTCCAGGTTAGTGTGAATTCAAAAAGTTTCTAAATCCGATTGTTAATAACCCCACATTGCTTAAATTTTGTGTAAATTATATTAAAGGTGTTATTTTTGTATTGTCTGCATTGGTCTGATTTATTAATTCATGTTATGTATTTTAAGACAAACACCAAGAAAAGGAGCAAATCTCTGATGATGCAAATGCGACAGAGACTGCAGACCCCATGAAAGTAAGCAGTTCATCTGTATCAGTTGAGAACCAGCAACAACCAACTCCTACTACATCACCTAATGTGGGATATGTGACTGTTGTGTCAGCACAGACCTCTCCAAATATGAAGAGGAGAAATTCAAATGAAATAGGAAAAGAATCCAAAAGGGCAAGGGCCACATCAGAAGCTGGAGATGCTTTCTCTACAGACTCCACTGTTGCCAACACCACTGCAGTTCATGCTCCTAATGCAACTACTGCTAGTGTTACTGTCAGTGCTCCAAAACCATCAACTGCCACTGTCTATGTGAAATTAGAAGGTTCACATGCTGCTGGTTCTGAAGATTCTTACAGGAATGAAGGTGCTGGTGATGTCCAAAGAAACCCAAACCCCAATGATTCACAGGGAAGCTATAAGAGAGACAGCAATGTGAACACAGTGAATGAACAGAAGAATTTGATTAAGGAATGAGAGAGAAATATTTGGTGCCTCTGATTCCAATAACTCTAATATTAAAACAGCTGAAGCCCAAAATCAGACAGGCACTCTGCCTGGCACAAAGAACACTGCTATTGATGATAAGAAGAAAGAAGGTTCTCCAAATGTCAAAGATCAAGAAAGTAAAGACAAACAGGTTGATCAAAAGCCAACATTTAGCAGCGTTGTAGCAAAGTCATCCGGTGACAAAGACAAACAAGGTGCACAGGTATGTTGACTTAATATCCAACTATTCTAGTTGGTCATAATTGTCACATGCCTGCCATAATTTAAGTTTTTCCGACCAGGGTTTATGTATGAGGAATTTGTGACAATAAATACTCAATCCTCAATACCATTTATCTCAATTCGATAAACAGTAGACAAACAATTCATTGTACTAAACATGGAAAGAAAACAACAAAGACTAAATGTTCAGACAGGAAAATGCACCTCTTCCTAACAATATATCAACCTGGCCCATCCATGAAAGGGGTTTTATTGAAAAGGGGTAACAGTATTATTGTAAGTATACCAAATAAGACAGAATTTGTTCAGTTGCCATAAATTCCTTATCATCCTCCATCTAAACAACTTGTTTGTAGGGATATGGAAATGGTCTGTTATGCTTCAGTTCTGGCATTTAACCCCCCATGAATTTTATCAATATTTCTTTGAGTACTGGTATACACACCAATCATGCTCTAAACTGTTACCATTTGCTATTAAGGAATTGTTTAATTTGTTAAACTGAGTGTAGGACTAAACAATTATACCAGAACACTGCAGAAAGAATTCAATAAATTGCTTAATTTGAAACTCATCCTATCTCACAGCATGCACCTCTCTTCTTCTACGACCATGTGTGGAAACGTGCTGTAGGCTAAGTTGAATCAAAGCTTTCTGGCCTCTACCCCCCTGACCTCTGCCCCCACACCAATAGCAGGACCTGTCAATCATCTCATAAGCGTTCCGGTTACGCAGATGATCACGTGATGCTCTGTGCCTGTCATTCTCTTTCTTGTTGCTACACCAAGTGGACGTGTGTTGTTCTCTCAGTTAGACATTTGATTGTCAATATGGGAAATAAATCGAATCGAAATTTTTCTAAGAAACGGAAACTTTGTGGTCAGTGCTGAACCACATGCTTTATGTGTGGATTGTATAGGCTGTTGTAGTTGGTCACATCGGTGTTCTGTTTGTTTACACTCGAATGGTGATGATTTTTCTGAATATCGACGGGTTGCATCTAGACTTGGATCGGACAGAGATCGGAGTACAACTGCTGAAGGTCCTTCAACTTTTATGTGTGCTAAAGTTCGTCGATCTAATCACTGTCCCCAGACAAAGATTCTTTAGAGGTGGCCTCAGACAACCTCTGTAGCACAGTCTTGGCCTTCTACCTTGGTGATGATTTCACAGACTCCTAGTTTGCCTCAGGTGGTTGTTTTCCAGTGCGCCGCTTTGGCTGAGTGCTCGACCCCCCTCTGCTATGGTGGGTGCACATGGTGAAAGCATTCACTCCCATACGGCGAGTTCAGTCAGTTCGCTGCTTTCAATCACAGGGATCAATTTGGCACTTCAACCTATGTGGCGCTTGCTTCCAATGCGACGCTTTGTTCCAGTTCGGTGCTCTCATATCTTCCTGTGGTGACATCAGGCATGACGGCAGTATCCAGTGCGGCGCTTTCAACACCTTTCCCGTACTTTGCACCACCTGTCTCTGAACCATCGCCTAGTTCCAGTGCGCCGCTTATACTACCAGAGCATCACTCGCTGTCCATTCATCACTTTGTACCAATGCATCACTCTCACAAAGGGAAGAAGAGACCAGTGCATCATTTCACTTCAATTCACTGCTATCGTTCGGTCCAACTCATTAGCCCTGTGAGGCGCATTTGATTGGATCGACACTTCAGCCCAGTGTGCCTTTTCGATTGGATCACCGCTTCAGACCAGTGGTCTGTTTTCGATTGGAACAACGATTCAACGTAGGGAACCGTTTTTTGATTGGAACAGCTTTCAGTCCAGTACACCATTACTGTAGGGTACAGTGTTCCGACAGTGTTCACTGAACTGTCAGCATTCGCCGAATCATCTGGGTACCTCAATGCGCATACTGTCATCATGACTTATCATGACTAGTTCGCACACTACGGTACCTACAGGGACATTTTCTACTGCAGTTCTACTTCAACACTTCTTCCAACTTCAGCGTTGATACCTCATTTCTACAGTTTTTACCGGTGCTCATCTTGGCTTCGGGGTTACGCTTCCTGCTTCTACAGACAGACAGACAGACACTTTTTTCAGTAATAAACGGCCTTATGGACTATTTTACAGTTAATAATATTTGTATTTATAATGTCGCGTGAGCACAAATTGAAATAGTTATCTAGCAGTAAATATATGTTTTAACAATGTTGCAACTGCATGTATAACAAGAGGATTTTGAGAGTTTAATACATTTACCATTAACATATTGTTTTTATGGACATGTGTAATACGTGGAAGATATTTTCTCTCAGATCTTTATACTTATCACAAACTAATAATACATGGAATTCCTCTTCAATAAAACCCAATTTACAGTTTGCACATTTAATTAGGTCAATATCGTCTTGTTTATACCTTCTGGATAAATTGACATTAAAATTGTGTAGGGGAAGTCTAAATTTACACATGGCTCTTATAAAATCTTTATTTTCTAATGATGTTAAATATTTCTCTGGTTCTATAGCTGACTTCATCGAATTATAATGACATGAAAAGGATGAAGATGAAATACTATTGTGCCAGGTTTGATAATACATATCTTGTAATATTTGTTTTAATGAAAAAAGAAATAACTCTTCATCACCAAAGTCTTGTGCAATCCAAACAAAAGAATACCCACACAGCAAACAGCAAAGATCTAACATTTGAAACCCGGGCCAGAAACAACTGGTCTTACCATTATCATCAAGAGTTTTTAATAAATTATAGCATTGATAAGGATATCGTTGTCGTTCAATCTTTAGTAATTTACACCAATATTCAACCACTCTAACTTGGCTGATAATGAAATGAGGATAACGCCTGTATCGCCTAAAATGGCCCTATTTGAAGCAAACTTCCCAACCCGTAAAAAGCGTTTAGAATAAGATGATTGGACTTTCTCTATTGCCTCATTATATTTTGAGCCCAATATCTCCGCCCCATATAACAAAATCGGCGCAATTTGACCATTAAATTAGAACATGCTGTGGAAAATGGAACATTTACAAGTTTTTGTAAAATAAATGACAGCTTTAGAGGCTTGACATGCTAATTGTTTACAAGATACTGACCATGATAATCTAGAAGATATAACTAATCCTATATACTTATAATATGTCTTAACTTCTAAAGGAACATTGTCATATGCCCAGTGTTCATGCTTAGCAAATTTACCTCCATTTCTAAATACTATGACAATTTTTGAACTTATTCTATCTCACGGTATGCACCTCTCCTCTTCTTCTACGACCATGTGTGGAAACGTGCTGTAGGCTAAGTTGAATAAAATCTTACTGACCTCTGACCCGCCCTGACCTCTGCCCCCACTCCGACATCAGCACCTGTCAATCATCTCCGCAAGCGTGGAGCTCGCTCAGATGATCATGTGACTACCTGCGCCTCTGTCATTTCTATTTCTTCTCGCTACACCGAGTGGACGTGTGTTATTTGATTGTCAAGATGGGAAATAAATGGAATCAAAGTTAGAAACGCAGACACTGTGATCAGTGCAACAGCAACATTTCAGCTGCTGATCCACACGCTTTGTGTGTGGATTGTATAGGCTGTTGTAGTTGGTCACATCGGTGTTCTGTTTGTTCACGCTTCAATGATGATGTTTTTTCTGAATATTGACGGGTTGCATCTAGTATTAGATTTTTTAGAGGTGGCCTCAAGACTCCTACTTGAGCAAGTATCTCCCTCGTCTCTTTCGTCATCAAACGTGTAGTCCCGTCTCCAGACAAGTTTTATCCGCTCCGAGAGTGGTACCTAGTGCTAACAACCTCTGTAGCACAGTCTCAGCCTTTTACCTTGGCAGGTGGTTGTTTCCAGTGCGCCGCTTTGGTTGAGTGCTCCACCACCCTCTGCTATGGTGGGTTCGATTGGTGAAAGCGTTCACTCTCATGTAGCGAGTGCAGTCAGTTCGGCGTTTTCAACCACAGGGATCAGTTCGGCACTTCAACCTATGTGGCGCTTGCTTCCAATGCGGCGTTTTGTTCCAGTTCGGTGGTGACATCAGCCATGACGGTAGCATCCAGTGCGGCGCTTTCAACACCTTTCCCGTACCTTGTAGGCGCATTCGATTGGATCAACACTTCAGCCCAGAGTGCCTTTTCGATTAGATCAACGCTTCAGACCAGTGTTCCGTTTTTGATTAGAACAACGATTCAACTTAGTGAACTGTTGTTTGGTTGGAACACCAGTCCAGTACACCTTTACTGTATGGTACGACGTTTAAGACGAATGCACCAGTCCTGATTGACTCAGAATTGACTTTAGAACCTGATCACTTGACACAACTGGATCACAGTACCGAACCAGATCACCTAATCGATCCTGATTGCTGCACCATACCAGATCGCCGCTCCAACAGTATTCGCCGGTCCGACAGTGTTCGCTGGACATAGCTTTTGCCGAATCATCTGGTTCCCTCTATGCGCATACTGTCATCATGGTTTGTTTACTATAGTACTGTCGGAAATAGAAAAAAACTGTATTTTCTCATTTATCTCTACAATTGATGTAGTTGATATGTGAAAGTGTGAAATATCTGTTAAATTAAGTTCGGCCTAACTACAGTCTCAGTGGTAGAGAGATAGGAAACGGAGAAAAAGGACTTTACTGAGGGGAAATTAGTGCAGAAATGAGCAATGCGGTTTTTTTCTAAGTCCAAAAAAGACTTATTTGGAACAGACCATGGCATTATGCAAATTAGTGTGCGATGATATTGTATTACAAAGGACACTTTTTAAATGCCCAATTTGAAATTAGACGTAGATTCATTAGAAACGATAGCTGACGTAAAAAATAATAACTTTTATGCCGAAACTATTAAGGATGTAGCTACCATGCAGTCTAACTGTCACTTTAAAAAGAAACAGATAGGAGGGGTCGCCTCAAAAGCAAAACCTGGGGTTGCGCTTGGGGATAGAGATATCAGCTAAGATAAGATGATCCTTTAGGCAATTATAC